CAAACTCTACGACCACAAGCTTTATCTTTTTCTCCTCTAAATAATTGTGGCACTAAAAAATAAGCTCCACCTTGCACTCCCATTCAAAATAAGCATTCGGATAATTCTTACCTAGAAACGATGGGATTTTCATTTTGATGCTCCCAATATTTTTATCAAGATCATTTCGACCCCTACCATAATTTCGACCTTCATTGACCAAAGTAGCTTGGTAATCAAATTCTTCCTCCACTTCCTCATCAAAAGGTGGTGTTGGAAGTCTTCTTGCCCTTGGATTGGTTTGGGAAGCTTCCTCTCTCATGGAATTTAACTCACTTTGTTGTTTCTTTAGTTTCTCATTCATGTTACCAATAGCTAGTTGAATCCTCTCAAATTGTTGTTGTATTGCTTTGAGGATGAATTCTTGATCTTTTGATGCTTTTTCACTCCCTTGTGGCTCCATTTTCAAATCTGAAATTTTAATGACAAACAAAATAGACTGCAACCTCACAAATCACTCCCTCACTTATTTACTCTTGTAGTACGGGCACTCTTGTTTCACTTAAGTTTGGCTTTTACCCTCTTTTGAGCTCACACTCTCTTACTTTTTACCACTCAAGCAATCTTTTATAACTTTATACAAAATGGTCAATTCAAACAACAATTAATTATCACTATGTACTCAATTTTAATTAGAGATAATAAAGAATTCCTAAAGAAACAAGATACACGAATTCAACTCTAGAAGCAAACTAGAATATTCTAAACAATGAAGAGTACACACATGATATAGAAATAAGTATTTGATGATTTTTATGTTAATTAGGCAACAACGAATTAATATTATTATCTCAAGATATAATAAGAAGCAAATGGGCAGAAATATTAAATGAAAACTAAAGATGAAAGAAAAAAATGGTGAATGAGAAATTTAATGCATGAAACTTGTAATTCTCTAATAGAACCACAAATTATCACCAAAAACACTCAACTTAAGTGAAACAAACAGTTTTGGATGCAAACAAACTCAATGGAGATGAGTTATTTTCAAACAGCCCCAAAAATTACACAAACAATCTCAACCAAACAAACAGACTTGAAACGAGTTTTCCTTTTAAATTTTAAATGTATTTGAATGTTATATGAGATAAATAAAAGGAAAATAATAGCAGATGCTTCAATTACACAAGGTAGAATTAGTTGAAGTGTGTTTTGCACAATTAAACAAATTAGACTAATTTACTTGGTGAACCTGGCTCTGATACCAAATGATGCAGAACCCCAAGATTTTGAATCTTAGAAGTCTTCAATCGGTTTAGAACATAATTTAGATCACAAGTAAAAAAGAATCAAATTTGTTCAATCACCCAAATGGTTTAAATAGAACCCAAAAAAGATAAATGATATCCCTTAAACCCAATCCAAACAAGCACCAAGAACAATTGAAATAGGAAATCAAAATTGAATACAAGTGATAACAATTGTATTCCAAATCAACACCTTATGCATAAAGTGAGAAGAAAGTCAAAATACTCTTAACTCAATTTTGAAATATTTGATTACAATTCTTGATGTCCACAAAGAAGAGCTCCTTTGGTATTTATAGCCAAAGAAAGCAACAATATGTTATAACACAATAACTACAATTATAACTCCCACAATAACTAGGTTAATTATGTGATAATTGCAATTGTAACTCCAACAATAACTAGGTTAATTATAGGCATGTAATTGTTATGTAACTCTTTGTAACTCCAATCTTATTAACCAACACCACTAATTGTTTGTGGCACCATATAATTATGGGCTTATTCTTGTAATAACACTAACACAAGACTTAAGTCCAAATGAATTACACTTGACTATATGAGCTTAATTAACTCAAACTAAAATAAAACAATTCAAAATACTTAAAACAACTCAACTAATTCAGCCCATACACAAGGCTTATTCACCCATTACCAATAAGACTCAAATAAACCCAAATTATCCCAAATCATTTGAAAATTACGAATTTTGACCATTCAAAAAGCTCATATTTGAACATTTCACAATTGGCCAGTCCATCATTCACATGTTTCTGAGTAAAAACTTGGAGCAACTCTTTAAGTTTCTTTACCTTTGATTTTGTTACTGGTCCGCTGAAATTTTTCAGGTTTTAAACTTTATTTGTGTTCGCGTCATTTGAAATCTGCTTCAAGTAACCTTTTGATGCTCTTTCAATATTTTAAGTGTTTTTAGTCTTATTTGCATCAAAACGTATTTGAGTTAGATCAAATATAGGTTAGTTAATAAATTATACTGAAATATGATCGATTCGAGTTTGACTTATTTAAAACTTATTTAAATACTAAAGTATATATATATATATGTATATATATATATATAATTTATATTTTTATTAATAATCAGATTGGGTACAAGTCAATAATCTATAAATCCAGTATAGTTTTGAAAAATAAAAGAAAATTAAAACCCCACATCGAATTTGTAGCAGATTTGGGTTCATTTGTCATAGGGCATATTATGTTCAAATTTGGTTAGTTTTGCTCAAAACTGGTCCTATTATTATATCCCCACATATTTCTATCACATATAGATTTTTCAATATTACATTATTAACATAATATTTTTTTCTCACATAAAACATGGGTCCAACAATACCGTCTAAGAAAAGTAAAATTATATGTAGCTTGTGATGTATTATATCATTCAAGGGCATTACAGTAACTTCACAAGGAGACACATATGTCCACTCCCCATAGAGGAAGCCCAGATGCTGAAACTTAATTTATTATAACCCCAACAAGTCTTCGCTTCTCCAGAAGGAGAAGTCTTTCTCTGTCTCCTTTCACCTCCCTCCTACCTCTGCTTCTTCTTCTTCTTCTTCTTATTTTTCTTCTCAACGGGAACTGCTTCTCCCTCCCTCTTGACTCTGTTTGAGATTCAGTTTCAGAGCTACTGAGTGATGGGTGTGAGCTGCACCGGTTCGCACACTTCCCACATAACAGAGATCATCATCACTAGTTTTTTCCGCCATAAGTCTTAGATTAGTCTACTCAAAAACGAGAGAAGAAATCAGGGTTTCGTTTGTTTTTCTGCTGATTGGAAAACAGTATTACAGTGATGGCTGATTCTTAAGTGAAAAAACTTCTTTTTCTCTCTCTCTCTCTCTGTTAACTCATATGGCGGGTGGGAAGATCTATAGCAGTGGTTCTGGTGGTTCTAATATCTCTGTTTTGATTCAAAGTAAAAAGGGTCCTTCCTCCTCTGAATCTCTTGATCCTCTTTTCATGTCTGTCTCCTCTACTTCTCCTTTTCTTGGTATTTCCTTTTCTCTCTTTTACTCTTGTTTATAATAAATCCTCTGTGCTGAGGTTTCCGTTTATGGCACAGTAAATTCTTTCCTTATTTTGGCTTAAACATTTAACTATATTGTTTGACTTTCCATGTTAGTATGTCTCTGTTTTTTGTTTTTTGAGATTGTTTGAATAAAAAAACCCTGAAAACTGTGATTTTGGATTAGTAGGTTCAAGATCCATGATGAGCTTTGAAGATGTAAAGGGAGGAAATGGATCAAGCAGGTCGTTTTTCAGGGGTTACGATCAGGACGATAATATAGAAGAGGAGTTGGAAGAGTATTTCCAACAACCTGAGAAGAAGAGGAGACTGAGGGTAGATCAAGTTCAATTTCTCGAGAAGAGTTTCGAGGTAGAGAACAAGCTTGAACCAGAAAGGAAAATTCAGCTAGCCAAGGACCTTGGCCTGCAGCCCAGGCAGGTTGCTATCTGGTTCCAGAATCGCCGGGCTCGATGGAAGACAAAGCAATTAGAGAAGGATTATGAAGCTTTACAAACTAGTTATAACACCCTTAAGACTGATTACGATAACCTTCTCAAAGAGAAGGACAAGCTTAAGACTCAAGTAAGAAATATACACACACACACACTCTCTCTCTCTCTCTCTATATATATATATATACATATCTGTGTTGTTTCATCAAGCTTTGTGGGTAATAATTGATGGAAAGGGTTTTAGTACCTCAGTCAAGATCTTGCAAGATTAAGCAGGGTTTTAGGGGAGCCGTTCTGATATGATATTTTTCCATTTGAGTAACTGAAAATTTGAAATGGGTAATCTCAAAAAGTAAAAATAAAAGTTGCCCTAGAAGATTGAACAAGAGAAATACTTGAAAGTTGATTGATTTTGCAGGTAAATCTTCTGGTAGAGCAGTTGATGGAGAGGGAGAAGGAGAAGGGGAATTCAGAATTGACAAACATAAACTCAAGTTTTCAACAAGATCTACCAGAAAAACCAGTTGCTGAATCAATTAATTCAGAAGGTGAAATATCGAAGGCCTGTAAACAAGAAGAGATTAGTTCAGCCAAGAGTGATATATTTGATTCAGACAGTCCACATTACACAGATGGTGTTCATTTCGAGCCAGACCAGTCTGATTTATCCCAAGATGAAGACGATAACCTGAGCAAGACTCTCTTCCCTGCTTACATTTGCTCAAAACTGGATTATTCCGACCCGCCCACAACTTCATGTAACTTTGGAATCCCAGTTGAAGATCAAGATCATGCTTTCTGGTCATGGTCTTATTAATAAACTTCTTCATGGCTGCTACATATAAATATATATATGTATGTATTTTGTGTAGTAATTTAGCAGATTGTTTTTGGCAGTTTATATATAAATAAGCAAAATAAAGATGGAAGGCCAAATTCAATGGTGGGTTCTGGTGAAGCTGGAAACCACTTTGTAATCTTGTTTTGTTGGGAGTTTGATTTTCTTGTTGCTTCACATGTTAATGTATATTGTAATTTTGTTCTATCTAGCACTGAAAAAGTTTCTTCTTCAAATTTAAGAATGGCAAATGCAGAACAATAAGATATATATTGTAGTTCTTTTGTTTTTTTTACTTTTGTCCTTCTTCCACTATTACCCATAATATATATATATGTATATGTATGTTTATATATATATATAGATATGTTGTGGGTTGCTTATATAGCTTTCTACCTTGATTTCCACAACATTATGTTATTATCATTTTATTCATTATAACAAAACAAATAAGTATGATCCACTATAACTTGTTCGTCGATACCAACTTAAATCATTTTTAAGCAACTTTTAAGATAACCTAATACTGTTGTAATTAAGCTATCAATATATATATATATATATATATATATATACATACATATAGCTCTCATGCTTGTTTGTCGATATCAATATTTTATTTATTGTTAAATTTAATCAAAATACTATCTAATTTTCCATATTTCAAAAGCTAGTTCTTTCCCATTGTATATATGTTGTATAATATTTCTTAAAATCGAATTAGTAACTAATCTTTTAATTACATAACTTCATACATTTTAATAATTACATGCATATACATACCCATTTTGACACAATCAATTATATTACAATTTTCTAATAAAAATACATATAAAATGTATAGTTCGATTTAAATTTAAATTTTAATAAAAAAATATAAAAGTATTAACTATTCAATTAAAAAATATATATTCAAATAAGTTATTAGTGTGTGTGACGTGTTTATATTTATATTAGTGCACGGGAACGTAGCGCATAGTGTATGCAAATAAAAAGGGTGGGTGATTATTATAAAAAAAATAATAATTTCAATTTTAACAAGGAAGAGGGAGATGCATGTCACATATAAATATGTAGGTAGATTCATTCATGTTGAAATGGGGATGGGTTGGTAATAGAGAAAAGGTTAATTATTTAATTAGTGCTAATTAATATTTGATTAATGTAATCCAATCAAAATGTAAAGTTAATTAATTAAAAGGTAAATGACACCCAATTAATTAAACAAATAGTAGAGGCCAATGGAAGTGACAAAAGGGTGGCTGATGATGGCGATGGTGATTTTGATTTGTTAAAGAAACTTTGATGTTAGGGAAATTAAATTTAACCACGTCTTCTAATTTCGTTTCTTAATCAAACACTACTAATACCTCATATTTTATTTATTATAACAAATTAATTAAAAATATACCCATTTATGACTAAACACATAAAACATATATTAAATCCCAATTTAATCATCACATTTATTTCTTATTATAGGTTTATTAATGTTGAGTTTTAATGTGAAAAAAAGAAAAATCTTTGGCAAGACTAAAATAATGTTTTATATAACAAAATTATAATCAAAAAGTAATTTTTAAAACATAATTTTAAGTACAAAAATGATAAGTATAATTTGAAGAATCTAAACTAAAATTGATTATTCAAGAGATCAACAAATAATATCAATTATATTACTAAAAAGAATAAAATAAAAATCTTGCTTAAAAAGAAAAGAGAATCATCTTTAAACCATATGAGCCACATACTTTCCCTAGATGCATTTGTTTAGTGGCATACACACATACTTCTTTTTCAATGTAAGTCTCTCGAATAACGCATTTTTCGTCTTCTTAAGGTCTACATATGCAATTTCGACTCGAACTCTAAATTATTGTATCGATGGTGGTTTTGGAGATGAAAGTTATAAAAAGAAAACTTTTTAATATGCTTAATATAATTATATGGATAGTTGTCTTAATGCTTTATAAAGCATTGACATTGAATTATATATATATATTAAATAACTTATTATTTTAATACATTGTATTTTATGAATAAAATTTAACGTGTTAAATAATTGGTCAAAATAAAATTTTTATATATAAAAAAAAAATATCTAATAAAAAATTTAAACAATAAAAAATTATTATTTTCATTATTTTACTTCCACCCAAATTAACTCTAACTTTTGTATATGTGATTAAAATTATGGCAATTTGTTAGATAATCTAAAATTTGTTTATTCATTATAAAATTTTATATTTTAATAATTACATACTATATGAACACTA